TGTATAAAGAAAGATAATAGTGAGTAAAAAGTATAGATCAAACCTTTGAGTAGATTTAAGTATAAATATTATACATTTATTTACTTCTATGACTCAATTCAATTTAGCATTAGTAGAAAAAAACCAATAATATAAAAAAAATAATTATCTAAATATTAAAGAGGTAAAATGTTATATGTTTATACAAGAATTTGAGAAGTAAGTCTTCTCAATTCTAGTTATTACTGTATATACATTATTGTTTAGTTAATTATTTGATTTTTTTATACTTACGAACTTGGTCTGTATCATTATGTAATATTTAGATCTGGTGTATCAAAAATCAAATCAAATACTAGTTACAATAAACTAAAAAGATAATAATATATAATTTACTAGTTATTGTATATTTAATAGTAATGATAATTACTAGCAATAACAACTCTTCTCATCGATTCTCTGACTACTTTTTTTCACTATAATCTAACCTGCAAATAATTTATTCTACTATAACAAACAACAATATTCTTTTCTTTAAGCTTTCTACGATGTATCGTAGGTAAATAACTCCCTTGTATGAGCTCTTTTTAGCTACATTATCTAGATATAACTCCTGAACACTATAGAAAAGTAGTGAATTACAAGAAAAATTGTCAAATACCTCTGTTGTTCTAAGTGACACTTACTAGTAGTTTGCTAGCATGGGGATAGCTAGTACAACAAGTATTTGTACTGTTTTTAGTAAGAAAATAAGTAGCAAAATCTTTCTCTCCTAGAAGTGGTCTCTTCTGATATCATCTTTTAGATTTTTTTTATAACTCGTTATATTTTTTAGAGAATTTGGCTTACTCCCTCCAAAAGACCTGCAACACGCATTGACAAAAACAATTAGGTATTAGCCTGTTGTTTTCTATACTGTAAACATATAACAAACATGTATTTGGCCAAACACATGCTATAGAAAACTTGAGTTGTTGATATTCTCTCTATAAAACAATACCTCACTCCTTTGAGAATTTAAAGAATAACTTAATTGTTATATATACACAATTTTTACACTGTTCCAGGAGAAATATTATTTTCTTTTTATTTCTGTTTTTGTTGTTTAAAGGTTTTTATCTGTTAGCAAGTTTCCTTTATTCAACTATATTATATGACACATGACCTTGTATCTTTCATTATATATATAATTTTTATTTTCTCTCTTCGTGGCCTACTCACCTTGGATCAGTTTGGCACAGAGTAGGAGGTGACCAAGAGGTTCTTGACTAGGCTGTCAGTGGATCATTAAGGAATTGGATTGTTTTGTGTATTGAGCATAGAACTTTTTAAGGAGTAAACTTGCTGACGAGTTAATCGTATTTAGGGCTATATAGGTATCTGAGTAAGTCCAAAATTGTAATAATTATTCACTAGGTATATTTAGTTGAGCTCATTTATATTAGTGATAGTTACTTGTATTATGATATAAGGGTAAAATCTCCTGCATATTTAGTTTAGCTTTCATGTTTACATGTATAGTTTAGCTTTATATATTTATATTGTAATCAGTATTAAATGATAATAAAATGAAGGGCAAGATCCTCTTGTAGGGAAAAAATATATATATATAAAGAAAACATATTTAATAATATAATAATAGTCTAAATTTTAAAAAAATTTCAAAAAAAGAAAAGAAAACTACTTAGTATAAAGAGTTAAAAAAAAAAGGTTTAAAGAATAAAAAAAAAAAAAAAGAAATTAAAAAAGAGTATAAAACTAATATAAAAAATTATTTAAGAGTATAAGATTTATTAAAAAAAATCTTAGCAGATAAGAGAAAACAAAAATAAATTATATACAAAGATAGTTTAAACAAAAAGAAAAAATTAAAAAGAATAAAAAAAAACAAATATAGTATATATATAGAATACTAAAAAAATTAAAAAAATTAAAAAAATAAAAAAGTTTGAAAGCTATACAAATAATAGAAAAAGAGAATATAAGAAATACAAAGATCTAGTAATCTAAAAAGAAAATTCTAAAAATAATTTTAAAAATTATATATATAAACAAAAAAACAAAGATAAAAACTTCTACTAGAAACAATAGCAAAAAGTAAAAAATAATAATAAAAAGAAAGTGAAAAATAGAACTTTGCAAAACTAAAAATAATAAACAGATATAAACTAGAAATAATAGAGATACAAAATTTTAACAAAAAAATAATATTAATGCTAAAAGAAAAAATATAAGAATTAGTAGTAAGAAGAGAAAAGATGATAGTACTCTATACTAACAGATAGTAAGTAAATAAAAAGATAGAGAAAATATGGATGTTAGATAAGTAGAAATAGATAAAATAAAGAATAGTATAGTTAGTATAGAAAACTTGAAAGTTGTTAACTAGCTAATGTCAACAAGAATAAAGTTAATAAAAGTTTGATTAGTACTACTAATATTGCAATATAATACAATAGAGTTTTTATAAATATTGAGCAAGCAATAGAAGGTATAACAAAAGCTTGTAATGCTAAACAATATAGCAAATAGATTAGGATAGATAAATTTTTTTTTAATAAATAATCGATAGTCCCAATATCACGTATATCAATTTTTTTAACCAATAAAATTGCTGAAATAATTGTCGAGACTAATTTATGTTACGGTTTTTTGGTCAAAAAAAATTGATGTACGTGATGTTAAACAAAACTAATGTACAAAAATCATTAACCTGTAGATTAAAATCAGCAAATTATGGCTTATCAATCTAAATTATTTTATTATCAATTTATTCAGTGAGTACGAAGATGATTTATTAGTAACTCATGAAAACAAAATACCCTTCAAATTATTTCATTTACTTTAATTTATTCGGTAAATACAAAGATAATTTATTAGTCTGTGGATTTAAAATCAGCAAATTATGAAGACAAATACTTATTAACCTAATACTTTTCATTTGCTTTAATTTAGTATGTATATGTAAGATAATTTATTAATTTGTGGAATTAAATCAGCAAAAAATGAACACAAATTCTTATTTATCTAATATCTTCAAATCATTTTACTCGCTATAATTACTGTATGTCTATGAATATAAAGATGATTTATTTTGCGAATTATGGTGAAATGAAATTTTAAAATAGTTAAAGTTTTTTTTTTTTGAAGTCCTTCAATCATTTTATTCGCTTTAATAGACGGTAAGAATAAAGATTATTTATTCATGGATCAAAATACCTATTTACCCAATGCTTTTCAAATAATGTCATCCGCTCTTACTCTGTGTGTATAAAGACGATTTATTAATTCCGTAATCTGTGGAACAAAATCAACAAATAATATTCATGTTCTTGATAAAGTTAGCTGGCATTATTTCATAATGCTAGCTAATTTTATAATGGCTTTAGAAAAATCGTATTTGAATCAGAGACATGGAAAAATTTAGAATCAAAAATTTTCCAAGTAAATCCAAATATTCAAACCTTTTTCAAACTAATCCAAATTCAAATTTCATGAAATTCCTGGTTTTTATTGGTTATTAGGTTTCAATATTGGAAAATTTTCGGAGTTGTAAAAATTATGGAAGGATTTTTCAGATAAATATTAAACAATTTAGAGTGTCACAAAAAAAGAAAACTATGAATGCTAATTATAATAAAATTGATTAACTATAGAGTTTAATGAATTAAATTATAACTTACTAGACTTTTATGGTTTCGAAGCAATGTATAACATTAGTCGGCTAAAATAGTGTTATCTAATCAACTAGAGCTAATCCAGTAAATAATTAAGTAAAAAATCAAAAGTTTGTTTTCTTCTCTTTTGATTTTTACACTATTTTGGCATAAATTATAAATATAATATTGGCTAAAAAATACTTGCAATTTCTGATCCAAATATTTCTATATCTCTGACTGAAATCCTTAAACTCATAAATTTTTATACTAAATTTATAAATACTACGCAAAATAGGTGGCACTTCGCGCCACCTGTTTTGCTAGTAGTAAATATAATATAATCATAAAAAAGCTACCTTTTTAATATTCATGACGAATTTTTGGAAACTTGTAGATTATTTTTGACGTACTTCTAGATTATCAGTATGTACAGATTTTTTTGCTTATTTCCTAAAAAGAGTAATTCATAATATAACTCCTTTAAATTACTAAAATAGTATAAGGTAACGCGAATTGGATGAAATTTTTCGTTAGATTTCATGGCCCTGCACTTTATGAATAATGATAAAAATTTTCCTTTGTTATACCAGGTTTCATACTTTGGTTATCTATTATATTGTGTCACAGGAAAGAAAACGGCAACTAACGAGAAGTAATAGTCAGGAAATAGGAAGTCAAATTACAAATAAAATAATATATTCTAACGGCCTTAATTTATTATAATAAAATTTCTATGACATTTTAATAATTAATAATCGCGAAACCTAGAATAAATGATATTAGTTAGACCTTTAATAACCATATGATTTAAATAAATCCACACATATATAAATTACGGTTGCAACAGATTTGATACGATTTGTGAGTAAATTGAATAAATTTTTTTATAAGAAAATAAGATACCCTAAACTGTTCTGATGTTATGTGTATATTGTAATTAGCTTAACAGCGACTTTCATAAAGCACTATTAAATACTGTATTAGTAGTCGTGATTTTGATAGTGTTCAGACACAGTACTATTACAGTGCGTAAGTATGTACAGTACATAATTTACAAGTCGCGATTTCCATATTAAGAGTATAATAGTGTCATATATTTATATTTTTTAAACAATAGTTATATATATATATAGTAAATACATTATAACAGAAGAAAAAAATTTGCATATTTCACAAAGGTATCAAAGAACAACAACTTAATTATATATATATATATAAGTTACTATGACTACGTAATTGTACAAACCATAAAATATACTTATTATTTCTTTCTGTATTTTTTAAAAAAAATCATATTTTTGTAATTCATAAAAAATAAATATAATTGAAAGGTTTTTCTTACATGTTAGTGCATAGAATGCGTCAACATGTATGATCGCTAACTGATACCTTTTGAGCATAAACTCTATGAAAATTCATATAAGTTCCATATTTTGAGTACTCATCATGAATAATTTGTAACATTCTTTCAAATTCATTCATGGTTATTCCTAAATTATTAACGATACGTGGAGCCAAAGTTTGAAAAAGGATTTTTAAATTCTCTTCCATTATAATTGCAAGGTTATCACAATTTCCAATTGATTGCTTTTTGACTTCTTCTTGAACTTTTGTGAGAGTTGGTTCTTTAAGAAGCCAATTTTTGTAAAATATTGCAGCTCTTATATTTAGATTCATTGCAGAAAATTCTTGTTTCAAAGATTCCACGATTCGAACATAACACGGACCGCCATTAAACGCAGCACCGTCACCTTCATAAAATTCGATCCAACCATTAGGTTTACATACACGAATACATTCTGGAATAACTTGAGTTGTCCAATCTTCTTCGGAAAAGCAAGCAGATAAGAAACCTATAGATTATTTAAAATTAATTAACAAAAAATTTAAATTTTTTAAAAGATTTATTTATGATAATGAAACGTACCCAGATGCACGAAATCAAAAGAATTATTATCAAATGGTAAGCCATCAAGAATATTTGCTTGTATAAAATGAGCGTTTCGTGGTTTAATCATACTTGGAAACATTGGTGCAATATCAATTCCATAAAATTCAGATCTGACAAATTCACAACTATTTTCTAGAACCCACGTTCCTGGTCCACACCTTATTATTTAAACAAATAAAAAAATAAAAATAAAAATAAAGATTAAAATAAAATTAATAATAAATTAAATTAATAAATTAAATTAATAAATTAAATTAAATTACAATTAAAGAAATAAATGAATGATATATTTTTTACCCTACGTCCAATATTCTGCCACCTTTTTTAAGTACATCCTCTACCGGAGCAGAAAAATTTCCATAGAATATATGTCGAAATAGATAATGCTGCATTTGTAATCTATCTATTTCAAAATCATCTTCTGGAAAGAAGTACTTTGAATTTTTATAATTGGCGTACCGCCGACCTTCAATATACCAACATTTTTGTTCAGTGGAGGAAGTTTTTGTTGAAGAGATTTTGGATTTATTTTTATTTTTTAATAAAAATGATTGTTGGTTTCCCATGAGTAAATATGAGATCGTTGGTTCGAACGAATGAATGTTGGAACAAAAAAAGGGAATGTGGACGAGAAACAGAATAAGAAATCAAAAAAAGAGAGTAAAAAATTATTATAATTAGAAAATATTGATTATTTATCAAAGATCAAAAGATTGTTGTTTCACTTTTTAAGATGAGCAATTTATTTAAAAATGGATTACAGGTATATGCAGTAGTTGCAGAAAAAGAACATATTATTTAATAACGATATGGTCCGTGTTATTTACATCATATTAGTCTAGTTAACGAAACTTGTAATTAATTAAAAATAGATATGTATACAGTCCAATTACCATCTCCCTTCGAAAAAAAAAAATCAGCTGAATGATTAAATTACTATATTATTTGAATGCCACCATTAACAAATTTATTTCTTTGTCGGACATCAATATCTGATATGATTTAGTTACATTTAAAAGCCCGAAGTCTTGAGTGTCACCGATTTATGCTATTTAGGTAGTAAGATTCAATTTATTTTTCATAGAAAATACAACAAGGAAGCATTAATATTCAATTTATTTTTCATAGGAAAACAGCTATTCAAAAAAAAAACCCCCAACAAGGAAACGGTTTATTTGAAACATGCAAACAATCTCATAATGGAATGATTGTCTCTTGACAGTTTTTTTTTTTCTAGTGATTTTAGTAATTATACATAGAATTCATTACACACGCAAGGCATGTGGCGAAATAATTCTGCACATAAGCAAGAGTGCTCAAGCCCGTTTCTACTTTTTAAGGTCATTCACATGATTTGTCTTCCTCTACGATTATTCATATCGTCAAAACAAAACTGTTGTTTGTACATATCCACAGATCATATAATTTTCATAACTTCCTTACCGTCTTTCTAGGAAATAAAATTGTTTTATGCTACGTATACGTACAAGTATATCGTGCATTATCGTTATCTGTTATGTATAGTTCTGTAGCTAATAAAGTTTTATCACTGCATCCCATTGTATTATAGAAATCTACACCCTGAGACGATTAAATCTTACATCAATAAACTTTAAAATTACCTATCGTTCATTATACTAAAATTATATCTTCTTCATTTAGTACGTATGCATCATCGTCGAACAAATCATTATTTCATATTTATTATCGTTGGATTGATTGAAACTTAGATTAAAAAAAAATTACCAGTAATAAAAGAATATTAGAGTTTAATTGACTTTAAGTGGTTGAAAAAATCGGTAATTTCCTTGGCATTAGAAAGATGACGTATATTATGTCACTTTGCCTAATTGTCTTCGTTTATAATAAAATATTACGTAACTTTAATTTCGCGCTGACTAATAGAACGAATGTTACACGATATCAGTAAAATTAAGGAAACACTATCACTATAAAAATAATATAGTTATTTGGATGTGAAACATCCAATAAAATACGTTATCCGGCAAACTCATATGATCATGGCGCAGTTTTTGTCACGTTATTTTTAACGTAATGCCGAATAATTTAGGTTACACTTATTTCTGCATTAACTTTAACGGCTGGGCATAAATTAGTTATTTTTACATTAACAATAGTTTTAACTGGGCCCAAGGTTCTAATTAAGTCGAGATATTTTAAATTGTCTTGACTGGACGGACTGCGACATTTTAAATTGTCTTGGGCGAAAGTTATAATTGGATCATGATTTCTTTTTTTTTTAAATTATTGCACTGATGGTTATAAATGTTTTAAATTGTCTTGGCTGGAGCGAAGGTTATAATCAGGTTAGGTTTTTTTAAAAAAAATTATTGCACTAGATACTAATTAGTTAACTTGTGCATATATGCAATGAGTTTAAAACATAAATTCAGCATTTATATACAATCTTTTAATTTAATATTATTTAAAAATTAAATGTACAATTATGAAAAGTATTACTAGTAAGGAATTTTCAACAAATTCTTTATTTTTTAATTCTTTACTGTCTTTTTATTAATCCAATCTTTTTTTATTTTCTTTTCAGAGATGTTTTAGTGAAGCTTAGACAACATGTTATATTAGAGATGTTTGTTAATCAAAACTATATATGGTATTATATAAAAATTTATTATAAAATTTTTAATAAAAGTTATAACAATAATTATTTAGATGCAAGGCTTTTACATCTTTTTTTTTATTTTTAAGGT